ACACACACACACACACACACACACACACACACACACACATACTTTCATTCATACAGTCTCTTTAAAAAACAAAAAAGTTCAGTTAGGGAACTTTGCACAGAACAAAAATATTTTTTTGCTTGTTTAGTAGAAATATATATATGACTAGAGAATGTCAGTGCAAAAAAACGTTTAGCATAATAATAGTCTAATGGAATGTCCTCTTACATGAAATTACTGGAGGTTAGGGTGGGTACTCAAAAACCCAGGTACCCTTTAGTTTTTTTAATTATTCAGGTATCAATATTTAATTTGAGAAATATCCTGTTCACAGAATTTCTTTTGGTTGTGCATCATGCACCACTTTCTAGTATGTGCTCAATTTGTATTGGATTTAATGGGTTTGTACTGTACACACAAAAAAATTATACTGTTCATCACACATTGTTGATTTATGTGAGTTGAGTATGAAAAAAACGTTTGCAACAACACCCACAACATTATAGAGATAATTAATTTTAATTTTTGTATTAATGTACATGACATACAGGCTGAAAAATTACACTGAATATTTATCATAAGTTAAATAGTTCTGAATATTCTATAAGCCAATTTATCTTGGATATCAAGTAATATGTGAGAAACAAAACACATCTTTAATCAATGTTCAGAATGGTGACATCATGTGATGGAGATACTAGAATGAGATGTGGACTGTATCCCATTAGCTACTTGGACAGGGTGGGTGGGGAAAATTTTAATTGGCAGGTCCCACACCATTGTCTGAACATCCAAAGATTCAGGTCCCTGTAAAGTCACACTGTCTGAAGGATCTGAAGGAACTAGTAACTCTGGGAATGATGTGTTTGTCGTAACAAATTCAAAATGTAACTTCCATTTCAAGGAAACTGGAGAAATAAAAATCCAAATTTAATAATGGCTACACCCTAAACCTACAATTATCTTTAACATTAAACAAATAATGATAAAAATAAGTTAGAATTGTCAAATTTATAACACACACAACATAAAATATGATAACCGTTTAGTACTACTTAACACTTCCTGAGATCATAGACTATTTTTATTAAACACAATAAATCTGGAATCTTTGATTTTTTGTGTATTTTATCACAATAGCAAACTTTCACTAAAAACTGTTGGAAAATGTTAGAATGTGTTGTTTTTCTTTACCATATTAAAAACAAAGTAAAAGTTCTTACATGTAACTGATTAAATATTATAAGAATACATAACTTATCTACCAATAGACTTGAATTGAAAAACAGACAATCCCTCCAAGCAATAATCTTTATATTATCATACACATGTTCATTCATATAAGGCATCTTACAGCAACACTTATTACAACCAAAATTAAAAACATACTTTATAGAAAAAACAGGTAAGGATATTAATAAAATCTGGAATACTACAATAAGACATTACTGATTACCCTACTACACTTTCATATTAATTAATTTCACTCTACATCAATAATTTAGCAACAATTCATGGTAGAGGAAAGTAAATGCCAGATACAATATACAGGGATACTGATAAACCTGTAACTATAAATTTCAGAGGTGCTAGAGGTTATGCAAATTCTACAATAGCCAAACATTTTTGTTCTTCACATTATATTAATAAATTTACATTAAACTACATACTTCTATAAGGGGTGGTAAATAAATTAGAGAAAAGGGAAGACCTTGAGAGCAAATGTCACAATTCTTCTAGTTGGAGAGATTGAGATTTTTTAAAAACATTTCCTTATAAAATTAAGAACTTAAACTTATATAATATAAAAATTTGATTTATTAACTACATTTTGATGCAAAATTTATTCATATACATTGATAATAAAGTACTTTAATTAAGTTTTGAAGGTAAGTCTGTAAAAAGTTTATGCCTTGTGCATTTTGACCTAGCCGACATGAAAGTGTTAATGTAGATTCCAATGGGTCCTATGTGTGAAAGCACCATAAATGACACACTGCACGTGAGTATGGTTCTGTGTAGTATTATCTGTAAAAAAGGTCAAAATGAAAGCCAAAAGTACTATGAAAAAGAAAAAAAGGCAAGAGAAAGTCTGCTCTCAAACAGCCCTGGATGATGTTTAAGACAACACCACCATTACCACTGAAACAATGGAAATTTACTATATTATCTGTTAATTTGTCCGGCTAGGTTTTCAAGAACCATACTGATTTAAAGCTATATTTCCGTGTCTTTACAGTCTTACCACTTATCTTTTGTTAAATGTGGACTTGTTGTAAGTATAAATAAATAAAACAACCTTTACAACCCAAACTTTACAAATGTTACTGCAGATGGCCAAATAAAAATTATTTTGATTTCAAATAACACGCTAAGTTATTGGCTATTTGTTTTATTGCCAGCTACTGAAATCAGAAAATTCAGTACAAGCAGCATTCTCAGATTGACAAAAGTGGTACTTGGAATTAGGATGAATTTAATTCACAGCAGTCAGATAAATTGCAATGTTGTTGAAAATAAATTTAGAGAAGAACCCTAAGGCTATAGAAGAATAAACTAAGTTTCTGCTGGTTCAGTTTAATTTAGAGAATTTCTGTTTTTCTTAATTTTATCCAACAAAAAAAGACCAAGACGTTTGTCAGAGAAGAAATATTTTTTCTTATTTCTAACTATTAGTTATATATGAATACACTAAACTGAAGCTTTTTTATTGCGTGTTTTTGACCTTACATCCAAAGCATAAAAAATTATTTTTATTTTGTTCTTGCTAAGAGATACAATTTAAATTCAACTTACAAAAATACTTTCCTTAACCCTTTTGCATCAGGTAGGTCAAAGTGTGCATGTCAACCTTTTACACAGTTACATTCAAAATTTAATTAACTCTCTCACTACAAGTATCCTTTTCAGCACAACACAAGGTTTTTCTAAGTTACATTCAAAATTAAATTAAACTACTTTCTTATCTTAGTATATGAATAAACTTGGCATAAAACATAACTAATAATCCAAATTTTAACACAAGTTTTTAACTTTATAAGGCAATATTAAAAATTAGAAACTTTTAGGTTAGATAAGGTTTGATTAATTAATAATACTTTTTATGAGGTGTGCCTGTGAGTAGCCTGTGTATTATGTAATTTGATAGGGTAACATGAGCTCACAACGTTTGCCAAGTGATTTACAAATTTTACAGTAGGAATATTAGTTAGACGTAGTTCAAAGAGCAATAAAAAATTAAATTTAAGTATAAACAGATGTATACTGTTAAGAGTTTAAAGCTATTTACGATAAATAAATGTAATTACATGTTACAATTTGAAATCATTCTAGGGTAATTTAGATTTATTTCAATTTTTCCTGTTTTGGTGGTTACAAGGTTGGACAAACTGACCAACCTCTTATAGAGTTAAGGTAGAGAAAATAACAGATAAAATATAAAGTTTTACTGGAAGAAAAATATTTGAAATTTAATTGGGAGGTTTTAGAGGCTATGTAGAAGAAAATTTTAGATTTTTCAGATGAATAAAAGTGTTTTTAATCTTAAATTGCAAATCATTTCACACTCGGAGCAGTCAACATTTTGACTCCATATATTCATGGAGAAAGTTTTAGTGAAAATACTTCATTAACAATTCTGAAATAAAATACAACAACATTTACAACCCAAACTTTACAAATTCATTCAAAATTCTGATTTTGTGTCTAAATGCTCTTAATACTTAGTGAAAGCTTGCAAAATTGCATGAAGATACACAAAACACATTAGAAGTTATAGTATGGAATTTTTAGGTTGAATCTACCAAGATCGTAGTGAGAGAGTTAAACTACTTTATTATCTATGTATACAAATAAACTTGGTATCAAAATTTAGCTAATAAATCAAATTTTAATGTATGTTTTTAAGTTCTTAATTTCATAAGGAAATATTTAAATAAAACTCAACCTCCCCTAGTAGGAGAATTGACACTTACTCTCTAGTCTTCCCTTTTCTCTAATTTATTTATTACCCCTCCAAGAAGTACATAATTTAGCATAAATTACTCATTATAATATAGTTATTAATCAGGTAATACATAAGTTTTATAGCCTTCAATCTTATTTGGATACAGAGCGCTAAACTAGAAAATCAGATCCCTCTTGCCACACCCACCTGTCACATCCCTTCTTTCTCAAATTGCCAATAATTCTCTCCGACGTTTAATACTATAACCAATAGAAAGCCAAAGTTTTAATCAAGCATGTAGCATATGTGTTGCACTTTTTCTGTACAGAAAATTTCCAATTTTGCTTCCAGTTCAAACTTTATTCCTATGGGAAACATATTAAGGAGCTTAGCTGAATTTTTAAAGGCTGTTATCACATAGTTAGAAAGCCAGAAAAATTATGACAGTTATAGGACATTGTCTGCTTTTTATTATTATTCTGTGTTCTTAGGTGCTGTATTAAATTAAATAAAAAAATATTTATTGTCGGAGCGCCATTAGTATAAAAAAAATAGGTTTAAGTTTCATTGACAATCAACAGCAAAAAAAAAAAGACTATGACACTGGTACGTACTATATTTCTTGTTTTTCATGTGTATTCTTTATATATTATTATAAAAGTAACTTAAATGTAAAAATTAGAAACTTATTAGGTTAGATTAGGTAAAATAAAGAAAAAAAATTAAAATAAATTTTTACAGGGTATGCTAGCGAGTAGCCTGTGCATTGCTAAATTTGATAATGTCAGCTACACATTTGCACAGTGATTTATAACTTGTGTGGTTGGATTATTAGTTACAGAAGGTTCAAAGGGCAATAAAATGTAAGTAGAAACAGATGTATACTGTTACAAGCTTTAAGCTACTTAGGATAAACAATTGTGGTTTTATATTATAACTGCAGTCTTTTTAGAAAGAAAAAAGGGTAACTTAGAATTATTTCCTAACTTTTTTATTGTGGTTACGAGATTGGTAAAATTAACCAATAACAAAATATAAAGTTTTTCTGAAAACAAAACATTTGAAAATTTTTAGATGAACAAAAGTATTTTTAATCTTAACATGAAAATCACTTTACACTCTGAGCAGTCAATACTCTGACACCATATAATTATTGATAAAGTGTTAGTAAAAATACTTAACTCTTTCAGCACTGGATCAGTCCCTTGGACCAACCTCATAACCATTTTGTACTTGTTATAATTTTCATGCTATAACTTTTAAATTAGTAAGCGTATGCTAATGAAATTTGACAGCTTATCAGTAAACATTACAATGCTTTCATATGCAGAATTTTTTTTTATTAAGTCTTAAGGTTTGTAAAGCAATGTTTTTCTTATGCCTTTTTTTTTTTTTTGCATGTTGGACAGACAACATGCAAAGTAATTTTTATTTTAAGATTAAAATTACTTTTGTGCATCAGAAAATTTTCAAATTTTATATGTGAAATCTTTATAATGTCCAATTAGTTATGAAATATTTCTTAAGGAAAAACTATATTTTATCTGTTATTTTCAGTAATGAATCTCTGTACAGGTTTGGTTAATTTTGACTAATCTCATAACCACCATAAAAAATTAGGAAATAAATATAAATTATGCTTTTTTCATTCCAGAATGACTATAAATAATATCACAAAAACATAAGTGTTTGAACTAAATAGCTTAAATCTCATAACATTATATATTTATTATTTTTTATTATATTGACCTTTTAGCCGTGCCTGCTAACAATACAGAAGTTACAATGACACGGCATATGTGCACTGATGTTGCTGTATCAAACAACATAAAGGTGACCTTTGGTTTATACAAAGTAACTTGTCTTGGCTGTGTTTTAGTAGACTAGTATTTTGTAAAATACAGTCACATTTCAATTATTATACATTATATATGAATATAGATTATTGCTATTTAGAAATAAGTTCTTAAACTTATTTTTATTAAAACATAGAACAGTAAATAAAGAAGTAAAGCAAACAATTATATCTTCTAGTTACGACCTTTTTACTCAGTTGCTTCTTGACGTAGGTTGCCAAGCTTTTAAAATTTTGCACGTGGAGAATATGAAACAAAGCTGTTTTTAGGTTCTATATATATACACTATATTGATACCATAAAATTCCACTACAATTTATCAAGCTTAGTAACTAAGCTGTATTTCAGTCTAAAAAATATGAAATTTTGAGCAGACTACACACAAAACCTACCTCCTTTAAATCTTGGCTCAAAGGAAAGTGATGGCATCCAAAGACATTAAAATGAATGAGAAAGCTACTAGGGGGTCATTCTGAGCTTCCAATTAGTTATTAATGTCATATATAGAAGTAAGTGTATATACGGGAGCATTTCCGAAAATGGAAAGAGGTGGGCAGGGTGCCAATGTGTTTGATTTATTACATGAACAATATTTTAGCAAATTGAAAAGATAAGAAGCTCTTATTTTATATTCTAGCTTGTCAATATCAGTAATTGGAGTTCCAAATTCGTACGAAACTATAGACTTAGTATTTTGACATCACAAACATCTAATCTGAACCGGTGCTGCATTCAACATACCACGTGAAACCCAAAAAATGGATGTTTAACTGTTTTCTTAAATTAATAAATTGAGTAAGGTATAATACTAAAATTTGAATTATAATCTACAGTTTGATACTAAACTTACTGACATAAATTCATGAACTAGTAGGTCAATAAAATTTTGAATACGAGTCAACAAATGCGATGACATGGTCTTTCACCCATGACCCATCTGGAAAGGGGTAAAAAAAAATTGATTTTTTTGTCTACAAAAGACTTAAAAGTTTACTGAATGCTTACCAAATTTTGTGGAGATCAATGAATTACTTTCAGTGTTATAGTATGTATACCACCATGGTTATGTGGTGGTTACAAAGTCATGTAAAATATACGAGCCCATTGCGATATGGTTAACCAAATTTTATTGCATCTATTAAAAACAAAGCCATTCAGGAGAGGCATATTTCAAATTATCATCTATTTTGACTTAAAATATTACACACATAATTTTAAACAAATTAACCTGAATAATCTTCTTACCAATATCTGAAGAAAATGAAGGAGTTATGGTCAAGGGAATTGGCAATAACATGTGTGTGTGTTGAAGATGTAAGCAAAACTCATGATGTTTTGTGTAAGATACAGTTGATACAAGAGCTTTTGAACCTCTTGAGCACTCTGGCTGTACTTCTTCCTCACTTTGTAGTGTTACCAGGAACTAAATTAACAAAAAAAATTAAAAATATATATAAGTTTAATCATATGCCATGACTTACTGTAAAGATGATCATTAAATGTTCATGAAGATAGCACATACAACAAAAAACTAAAGTAAAAGAGCATAAACTGATAAATCATTTATTTTGTAACATAACTCAGTTACCTGTTTTCTTTTCTTGAAGTTATGCTAATACATGAAGACATTTTATTTTTCTTTATGTTTGTGACTCATGACCTAGCTGTTAGAAGCTCACTATGGCAAATAACCACCAAAGTAGAGAAACTTTACGGAAATTAGGTGTATGAATAATAAACAAGTGTGTTCTATCTGTAAAATTTAGATGTTATCTTTACAATCAGAAGAATTTAGTAAATTCTATGATGTTTTTAACTTTGATGTACTGAATAACCTTGTATTATGTTTCATGAATGAATTATTTCTGTCTGTGTTGAACACTGAACTTACAACTTGCAGAAAAAAACATATTATTAATGACACACTGGGTGACAGATGGACAAACTTGGCATTGGAAGAGATACTCTTGAGCCATGACTGTGTTTGTTCTGTCTTAGAAACTTAACTTTGAAAACAGTAATTTTTGAGTTTTTCCATAGAATAAATATTCTAAAATTATATATTTTAGTTTGTTAATAAGAGTATATTGCTAATAATACCCATGGTTTGTGGCTGCTTTTACATATAATGTACACTGTGAAATCAAACATGTATATTAGAACTGGGTTCCTTCATTTTTATTATGCCTGGATAACGCATTGAAATAACCACAAGATAATGATTACTTATTTACTAATTCCTCAAACTAAGAAGAAACTAATTTTGCAAATGGTACATTATTTGTTTTTCCTTTTTTGATGTTTTAACTCCAATTCTTGATTTAATATTAAATGTGTTCATATCTAATAAAAATCCCAGCTAGCTAACTGTGGGACTAATCAGGTGGTAGTTATTATGGAACCATAAGAATGGACAGATTCAGAGGCTATCGAGGCTGCTAAAAGTTTTTGTCTGAACTAATCAATTGATGAGTGCTATTATTTTCATGTCAATCACTCAGCACTTGTTTTGATTAGTAGTTCATTTTGCTAAAGATTCTGTTGTGAGTATTGTTTAGATCAGTTGTATTCACCCTGTTACAAGTTTAGTATGAATCAGTTGAATTAAATTCAGTTTGCTAAAAGTTTCTAAACTGCCAGACACTGTTTAGACATTTTTAAATCCTACTTTGGCTCTACTATTGTTTTCTCTCTCACTTTAGTCAATTTCAGAGCATTTTCTTTCATTCATATTGTAACTGTAGTTTAAATTTAAGTTAACAACAAAACATGCCTGACAGTAAATTCAGTGTTTATGAATAATTTATAGCACATTTTTCTTCTTGAGAATATGTAATACTTTATGTAAATTATAACAATATAAACAACTAGCATTTTTCTGTGTAATCTTCAATCAATTAAGACTTTGTTAAACAAGAATCTGAATGAAAATAAATATAGAATCTAACTGACATCCACTCTTTTGTCTATTCAGAATTGTAACACTAATTTTATTGAAAATCCTGTAAACTTTTCACACTACAAGACCTGTTCCTGTTTGGTATATGATGAATTTTGTGTTAAACATCACACTTACATATACCTAAACCATTTGATTACTGAAACAAGTAATGTCAGTGTAAAATAGAATAGATCAATGTGGACATACACAATTCAAATTTAATATAAATTGAAAGAACAATGATGAAAAATATTCAAAGCCAAATAAAACGGTTTTAATTAATTTTTAGTTACAAGTATTCACAACTTTCAAAATATTATAATTTCCAATTCTATACTTTTAACCAAGGTGGAAAAGGCATATAACATTACACTGAATAACTACCTGCACACAAGGAACAGTTCCTTCAGAAAAATCCAAAGTTCCAATGATATCTTCTCCCAAACGAAAAGCTGATTTCACAAGACAGAATTTCACAACTTTTCCATCTTGATTGGTTACATTATAAACACCTATAAGAAAAAGAGGTATGGCAATTTTTCAAACAAACTTTCTCAACTGTAAATTAAAACTAATTTATGTCACCTATCATTTATACTTGAAATCTATTTCCTTCCCCATCATACATTTTAAACGAGAATTGTTTACTTATTTAACCCTTTCTCTACGGGTGCCCTTTACTGCATATGACACAAGGTTTTAGTATCTTATATTCAAAATATTTGTTTATGTTATACAAATTAGAATAGCACAAAATCTTAGCTAATAATCCATATTTTAATAGTATACAAGTTTTAAGTTCTTAATTCTACAAAGAAATATATAAAAAAATCCTGAATTTCCACTATTGCGATGTAAGTGACATTTTGTCTTAGCATGTCATCATCCCTATTTTATCCATCACCCTTCGAAAATATACAAAATTAAACGTAATATACTCTCTAAACATTCATTATTGCTCAAACAAACCATAATTTTAATAGCCTTCAATTTTGTTTGGTTACAGAGCTATCAAATAGAAAATCAGACCCTTCCTGCCACATCTTCTCTTTCACAATTCGTTGATAGTTCTCTCTTACGTTTCATTATATATATTATCTATAACCAATAGAAAGTCAAGGTTTTCATCTATCAAATAGCGTATTGTATAATGTTGTGTTCTGAACAGATAACCGTCAGTTTCACTCGGAGTAGCAACATCATTCCCGTGGAAAAGTTAATGACTAGCTTGGATGAATTTTTAGCGGCTTTTGTCGCATAGTTAGAAAGCCAGGAAAATTTTTAGAAGTAAGTGAATTTGTCTACTTTTTGCATGTTATTAGTATATATTCTTTGGTATATTACTTAATTAAATAAAAATTGTTTAAGTGCTTTACTATAATCATTAAAAAAAAAATCAGGCTTAACTCTTCGACAATCGAGGGCAAGAAAAAAGAAGATTGGGTAAGTACCTTATTTCTTGTTTTTCATATTTATTATTATAAAAGTAACTAAAATTAAAAGTATGGATCTTTTCAAGTTATTTAAGACTAGATTAGGTAAAATAAGTAATAATAATGTAATTAAATTGGTTCATGAGGCACGCACTCGAGCAGCTCGTGGCTAATGTAATTCAATAGCATAACGTGAGCTGCATGTTCCCCCGAGTGATTTACAACTTATAATGGCGGGGATAGCAGTTAGACATGGTTCAAAGGGCAATAAAACAATAAAATGTAATTATAAATAGATGTATAATGTTACAAACTAAGAACTACTTAGGATAAACGAATGTAGTTTCAGGTTACAATTTGAAATCATTCTAGAAAGAAAAGAAGGTTACTTTAGGTTTATTTCGATTTTTTGTTTGGTGGTTACAAGGTCAGTCAATTTGACAGATCTCGTTTTGAGATAGGGTAAAGAAAATAAC